ATCCTGCACTTTTTTGCCATGTATGAAATTTCACTAAGTTCAAGTTGGATTGAGGTAAAGATTATTGGAAGAAATCCAGGTACTGAGAGAGTCCAAACTATATCACTCTTGGCTCATGCTGTCATCACTTTTATCTGATATTATTTAAGAAACATCAGCACATAATATGAAATTGGTATTGGGTAATATGGCACTTATGATGCAACCCAATCAAGTGGGGTTTCTCGTACACCAATATCAACAACTTTCCGCGATTTACACATTTGATTGCCCTGCTGAGGAGATCACAGAAGATGCCAACAGGGCACTTGCTACACTCCAGGAAATTAGAGAGGATATCCTAAAAGGCTGATATTTGTACATCAGTTGCAATGCATCAATGATATAAAAATTGACAGACAAGTGCTTATTGAAGGAGCAACTGTCATTGAAATACATGTTTTTTTTATAGCTTGGAGCACATGAAAGGGAATCCCTATAATGTTCAAAGAACATCATGCGTTCTTAGGTCGTGGGTTCGATTTCCAGCACGGGCAAGGAACTTTTTTCAATATTTTATTTACGAATTAAATATTGTAAAGTTTCGGAGCATCGGCTGGGGATAGTCCTGCACGATTCGCTGTTGCGTTCCAATTAACAGTGCTGCTCCTAAAGTGGCGCATGGAGTTAGTAACAAAGCCTACACAGAACACGCAGAAAGATATGATGATGTGGTTGTGAGCATCAGAGAAGAAGTAGGACGGTGTATGTAGGTGGGTGTGGAAAACTACCAGCTGAGCGTGAGAGCGGGCCAGCTGCTTAAGTAGACCTCGGTCTCGGGGATTAACGATGATAGTTAGCAGGCCTGCCACTGCGCATATGGTAGTGAGTACATTACTAGCCTACAAAACACAGCTGAAAAACTCTGAAAAGAGAGCTGATGGGCGGTGCCTGAAAAGGATGTTAGCCAGCTCTCTTGAGCGAACCACATCAGTCATTGAAAACACTTGGGGTTTGCAAAAAGGTCCCATTGGGGACTAGTTGCTGACGTGGAAACGTCCCCCACCAGTACCAGTACCAGTAGGGAGGATAGGGATAGGAGGTAGGTATTGGAATTTTTTTTAGCGAGAAAGAATATGGTGCTTGTCTTTGTATGGGTGGATCACTGTAAGTTAATGTGCGCCAAATCCAAGGTAGCCCTACATAAAAAATGCAGGACCTCATGATTGCTACTTTACCTCCCAAAGAGTAATCATTCATTCATGTCATATAATATATGATATTTCTGCCTTCCTTGATAACAAGTCATTTTTAAATAAATCATTTATGAAACTAACAAACAAAATTTATTGAAGAACTAAAAGTAAGAACTAGGAACAGTATAACTTATAGGCACATTATTTTCATTCCTGCATCCTACATATTTTAAATTTGTGGTAGAGTAATTGGAAGAGATAGAGGGTGATCAGAATTCTGAATCTTGAACCATCCTGTATCTGTTCCAATTAAATGTCAGTAGATAGTAAATCAAAAGTTGAGATAGGGACATGTGAGCCGTTTTGACCAATAATGAATAAATTAGGCACAAAAAATCCTAAATTTTGAAAAATCTCTTTTTTGAACACCCTATATCTCTGTAATCATTTCCGCTAGACCCGAAGTGTGATGAATTGATGGGATCAGCTCTTCAGGGAAAATCTAATGCGATGATATACAGGGTATTCCATTCAAAAAATAGTAACTTTGATACATTCTGTGTTTTTGGCACATCCTGTACAACATGTAAATATTTTCAAAATTTAGCACTGATAGGTCCCTATTCACAATAAAAAAGAAACAGACTGTCAAAAAACAAATTGCTTCAGCCACAATGGTTTGTGTCAAATAGTGACATCACTCTTACTTTTCCTCCTTAGGAAGGAACATTACCACTTTGCACCCTACAATGAGGCGAGGAAATGTATACCTTGGAGGTAGGTGATGTTTCATTGATATAATATTGAAAAGTTAACAATAAAATTGACAAAACTAATATAATTTTGCTTGTTTGTTAGCTTTGCATCAAATATTTTTATATCTATTTGGAGGTGGTATATAACCTTCATTATGCATGTGTGCAAAATAATTAAACTTGAGTATCCAATAAGTAATTCAGCTAATTACTGATTTTCTCAAAAATATCCAATGGCACCCTATTTTATTTTAGAAAGGGGATATGTAAGCCATGTATCAGCACCCCTATGGATTTGTCAATATTTGTGACTCCTACTGTAGATGCAAGTTCACACAGAAAATAAGTGTACAAAACTTGAGAGAGATCACTTTTGTGTATCTCCTTTCAGTGTGTATATATACATATGAATATATATATATAAATGAGAAACAATAATAATTGTTCAATTATTATAGTTCTGATTTATCTTCTTCTTTATTATTATTCCCAAGAAACATACATGTTTATAGCAGGGAAAATTATGAAAGAGCAACTAAAAAAAAAAAAAAAAAATTAGATAATCAGATAATCATTTTTAAATCATATACATAATACATATAATGTTGTTTCTTCTAGAGACTGTTGAATATAATTTCTTGAATTGATTCAGGATGACATGGAGAGAATCAAAGACATAAGTATTTTTTCAGTTCTTTTTTGAATTTTTCAACACTTAATTTTTTCTTTAGTCTGGCAGGTAATTCATTATAGAGAATTGTTCCATTGTATAAAATAGATCTTTTACCGATATCTGATTTAATTTTGATGAGAGTTAACATATCTTTTTGTCTGGTTATGTGTTCGTGTTTATGACTATTGACTTCAAAATTCAGATTTGAATGTTTATAATTATATTTGACGGAATGGATGAAATTCAATATTTTGAATTTGTAAATGGAGTTTATATCTAACAATTGCCTAGGTTTATAAAGATTTCTTGTTGGTTCCAAGTAATCTAGTTTGTATATACATTTAATAACTTTGTTTTGAAGGATTTTGATTGGCTTCATGATTGATAATCTAGCTGTACCCCAAACTGAAATCAAGTATTGTAATTTTGAATAAACCAAGGAAAAATATATACATTTCAAGTATTTCAAAGTGATTTGGTGTCTGATCCTGTAGAGTACTCCGATTACTGGAGATATTTTCTTTCTGATCGATTCAATATGTTTGGACCATGACAAATGTTCATCAAGGAATATCCCAAGGAATTTGATGGCTGTGGAATATTTGATGATTTCATTATTAAATTTGATATCAAATTTTAGTTATATATTATAATTTGTTGTATATATATATCCCTATCATGAACAATAATGTTTTTTGGGGTAATAAAGTCAATCAATCAATATGGAATGACCAAGTTTTTTCAATCAGAACTTCAACACCTTGTCCAATGCCCTGTTCACAAGATCAATTTTAAAGGTACCTAAGTTTGTTTATAGAAAAGTCCCTTTACTCTGCAAGTCTCTATTACCTATTATTAAAGGGTTCAAGAAAAAGCTAAAAAAATATTTACTTAATTCAAACAGACTAACTGTTCATGAGCTCGTGGAGGCTGGTGTAACGGTGTAATCAGATATCATTCCATCTCAGCTCATTAGCTTAATGTCTTTCTTCAATTTCTCCCAAAATATTTTCTATATGTTAAATTGCATGTTTATTTTGTAATTTTCATTTTTCATATTTATTGACCACTTTGTTGGTTGTACTAGGCATGTGTATTTTATCAAACTTCAATTGCCTTCACTATATTATTGGTAAAAGTGCACTTATCATGCGATGGGGTTTTTTTCGAAAATTTTTTTTGGTACTTACGTATTTTCGTCTGAAAAACACGAATTTCATAATGAAAATGTGAACAAACCACTATTTATCGAGATATTTCAAGAAAAAGTTCGAAATTTTGTCTTCTTTTCCCCCTTGTGTTGGATGCATTTACAGGTACTTGCTCTTATTATTTTGTCATTGGACACTTTATATACTCATGATGTACTTCACTGACACATTTTAAGATAGAAAATTCAACAGGAAATATGATTTTTATGGCGAGTTTTTCCTATTTAGTGAGCAAGCATACCAGATGACGGCCATTTAATCCATATGCAATCCAAATACGAGATGTCAAATGTCAATAGATTGCTTTGGAATGACATTACACACGCCATTATTTCAAATGATATTCTTCCTTCTTTTCACTAAACATGGATAAATCACAAGAAAATCATATTTCTAGTTGACTCATATAATAAAAAAAATGTGTCCAACATTGTGTGATATATATAAATTGTCCAATGATGGAAAAAGAAGGGCAAATTGTTCTAAATGTGATCCAGAAGACAGGCGGAAAAGATGGTGAAATTTGTAACTTTATAGTGAAATATCTCAATAAATAATGGTTTGTTCACATTTTCATTATGAAATTCGTGTTTTTCAGACGAAAATACGTAAGTACCAACAAAATTTTTCGAAAAAAACCCCATGGCATGATAAGTGCACTTTTACCATATTATTTTTAAGCTGATTTAAATTGTATGTGTTTTGTAATTTACATGTTCGCATTTGGTGACCGATTTGTCTGCTTTGCTGCTTGTATACTGGACATGTGTTCTTTACCAATTTCAGTCATGTTAGAGAATCTTGATTTTGAAATTAAACATATTTTTTATTCGCTTCACTCAATATTTATATACTAATTTTGAACATAGGCTACACTCACACCACAGACAGTCTTTGACTTTGTGGTTTTCTGTTTATTTGTGAAAAAATTGTTATCGCGGTCATCTGAATGAAATTGTATTTACACATTTTTTTATACCAATAAACTATATTATATTATTATTATTACCTCTCAAAATTATCTGGACAGTGGACACCTTGTATATTACACCATTTATTCTTTTCAATTCCATGCATGAAAATGAGTTATTAAGTTGAAATTGAAGGATAATAAAGTATGAATAGATAATATGAACATATGGAAATTTGAATAATTCAAATTAGATGTACTGGTATTCATGCTCACCTCCTGTGCCATCTCCTTTAGTGAAATCACCACCTTGGATCATGAAATCTTTGATCACCCTGTGGAACTTGCTGCCTCTATAGCCTTCACCTTCAGGTTTTTCTGCTAATTCCTTGAAGTTTTTCACGGTTTTTGGAACGGTTTTGCCAAACAAACCAACAACAACACGTCCAACTGCCTCGTCACCAATTTTTATATCAAACCATACCTTCAAGAATAAAGAGTATGATGAATGTCAATTTATCATACACCCAAAAGCAATATAAGTAATATTCAAGAATGAATAATGAATTAACCGTTCCTACTCACCTTATCAGTAACTTTGGGTCCTTTTTTAGCCGCATCATCACAGTAGACAAAAGCCAATAGGGCTACAAAGGCTAATGCTGCTATTAATACTTTCATTGTTCTCTTAACGAGTATTACCTTGGTAGATCTAATAGTGATTGATTATGCTGAACCCGTGGCTGAACGAACGTGGCTTAAGATCAATCAAAATCTTTTACGTGGCTGACTGAAACTCTAGACTAGTAGTGAAGAACAAAATTTGAATTTGTAGTTTCCACCTGCTATCTGCTATCGTCATCAACTGACATGAACTCATGAACATGAGATGAGAGATGACATTTTTTCATTTCTATTTCTTCTTTCTTTGCAGTTTCAGTACAGTGTCGCCAACATGTGAGATTCGCGTCTAGGGGATAGGCTGGTAACTAGTTTAAGAAAATCTAGACCTCCTTTAATCTAGACTGCTGATTTTCTATTCCGAAGGGTGCGTTTCTCACTCTCATTTCAAAATTTCGTCATGCACATGAATCGAAGCAACCATCAAACTGTTGCCAAATTCTGCTGATATGTTGATGGAAATTCATAAATCTGTTGTTTTAAAATGAGCACTTTCAATATGCTTTGAGAGAGTCCAGCGGTTTGGAGGAGATGGCAGAGGATTTTTGGGATTTTTGAGAGATTTTAGGAGATAGATTCAATGTTAATTATATATCAAACTTTATTAGCACAGTGCTCTTCATTACAGTTAAATCTACAATAAAATACAATAAGTCAATAAATAAAAACATAGAAATATGGAACTAAGACACAGACACATGAATTACGTCACATATTTTAATATAAGGGTAATTAACAGATTTCTCCTTTCTCAATTGATCAATCAATAATTTTCTTTCACAAATAACACACACGATTCTTTAAAACTATCTAGTGACAGTAGTGACACACATCTTTTCATTTCACATGGCAAATTATTGAACAATACCAGACCTTTTGTATATAAAGTATCACAGACAATATTTACTGAATTTATATAGAAATCATTCGCTGCTTGTCTTCTGGTATTGTGACAATGTACATCTTGAACATAATTTAGCTCACTTGATAAATACAAAGGCAACATGTTATTTCTCAATTTATAAACAAAAATAAGTGTATTATATGAAACTCTTTGCTTGATATTCATTAATTGCAATGTGTTCAGCATTGTTGTGACTGGTGTGCGTCTTTTACAACCCAAGATAGCTCTCATTGCACGATTTTGGACTTTTTGCAGTGTATTAATCTGTTCGTTACTCAAGAAACTCAGTAAAGTACCACAATAATCAATATGAGGTGAAATTATTGACTTGTAAATTGTTAATTTCGTGAAATGAGATACTTTATCACCAAGCCTGTACATGAAACCTATTTTTCGCGCAATTTTCTTTTTAATGTATTCACAATGGCTGTTAAAATTCAGTTGATTATCAATGATCACTACCAAATACTTGAACATTTTCACTTCTTCAATGATTTCTCCGTTTATCAGAATATTGAATTTTATTTTATTTTCCTGGATCATTTTTGAATTTGCTTTCGAAGATATAATCATGAATTTCGTCTTTGTTACATTAATTTTGAGTCCATTGTCACAGATCCAGGTGAATATATTCTCAAGATCTTCATTCAAGAATTCCTCCACATCCTCTTTCTTGCCAGAGAAGTAAAGCAAGGTATCATCCGCAAATAGTTTTAGCTTACAATTCTGGACGTGATGTATAATGTCATTTATGAATAAAATAAATAATATTGGTCCCAGCACCGATCCTTGTGGTACTCCATGCATGACCTTTTCCCTATTTGAGTAAGTGTTATTGAATTTAACAAGTTGTTCTCTATTCTGTAGATAGCTCTGAAACCATTCGAATTGGTGGAATTATAATATGGTGTGCTACGTGGCATCTTCGTATATGCTTCGTATACGTCACTGCGAGTAAAACAATTGCTCGTAGTCTGAGCTCCCAGTTGCTCCCAGTTATCAGTTCGCCCGAGTCAATGACGGCTAAATATCAAGTGAGCTGCCTGAATGTCCGGTGCGAGAATAGACTTAAGATCTTAGATCATACAGGATACTTAAGATACCTGAGTAGTACACCATTAGCCTTGGAACACCATATTATATTATATTTTCCATCATGTTGTTTGATCAATAGAATCGTATTAAGGCGTGTTTGCACTAGGCTCCACAATTCTATTGGATGACTTAAAACTGAAATATACCACCAATTTCTTTGCGTATGCAAATGATTGGAATATTCAATTTATGAGGTTCTGATTCTGCATTTTATTAATCAAAGTATCCAGTCGAACATCATTTTGAGACATTTCGAGGTTATGCTAGTGTTATCAACTGTGGAACAGGACTGTGGAACAGGACACCGACCAATAGTACAATTCCGTGATCCTAAGTGCACAGACTGGAATGGGTACTGTGAATCTCTCCAGAAGCACCTTGATCCCAGAATCAGTACTATCAAAAATAGTGCCGAAATCGAAGTGGCGAATGAGCGTATAGCAACCGCAATTCTAACGGCCTATCAGGACAACTGCCCACTAAAGGAGAAGAAAGACCACAGAGGTACACCCTGGTGGAGCAAGAGCCTGGACAAAAAAAGGCAAGAAGTTCGACGTCTCTTCAATCGAGCTAAAGATGCAGGGTGCTGGGACACTTACCGCACATCTCTAACGGCTTATAACAAAGAAATAAGGAAAGCCAAAAGAGACTCTTGGAGGAGATTCTGTCAGAGTATATCAGATGTACCTGCCAGCATGAGAATTCACAAGGCTCTCGCCAGAGATCCGACCCAAGAGATCGGCTCGATAAAACGACCGGATGGCTCTTTTACGGACTCTGGTAGGCAAACGTTAGAGGTTCTTCTACAGACTCACTTTCCCGGCAGCCTGCTCCTGGAGGACCGTCAGCAGATTCCACTTCCAATGGGATCGATAATACGACCAAAAAAGGAGGACTGGAAGAATGCCTCAATGGTGGTCACCCCAGAGTCAGTGGAATGGGCGGTGAATTGTTTCTCCCCATTCAAGTCTCCGGGAGAGGACGGAGTTTTTCCTGCCCTCTTACAAAAGGGCAGAGAAGTTTTACTACCTCTCCTGGTTAAATTATATAGAGCGAGTTTGGCGTGGAGCTTCATTCCGTTAGGCTGGTCAACAGCGAGGGTTGTGTATATACACAAATCGGGTACGGCGAATCATTTCCTACCCAAATCCTTCCGACCGATCAGCCTTACCTCGTTCCTATTAAAAACTCTAGAAAGAATTCTAGACAGGCATATTAGAGAGGGGAATCTAAGGGAGCATCCCCTAAATCCCCATCAATATGCCTACCAAACAGGCAAATCAACGGATTTAGCACTGAACAATCTTGTAGGAAAGATCAGCCATTCCTTAGATCATAAGGAAATTGCGCTGGCAGCCTTCCTAGACATAGAAGGAGCGTTCAATAACGCCCTACCACAATCACTCTACATGGCAATGCAAGGTAGAGGAATCAGCAGGCAAATATGCAACTGGATCAAAACCATGATTGGAAATCGGTACGTCATATCATCACTGCATGGAGGGTCGATCAGGTTTAGAGCGGCAAAAGGTTGTCCACAGGGCGGGGTACTTTCCCCCCTTATGTGGTCATTTTTGGTTGACTCTCTGCTGAGCGATCTCTCCATGCAGGGGGTGGATTTCCAATGCTATGCAGATGATCTCGTCCTAATAGTAAGAGGGAAATTTGAAGCGACGATCTCAAACGGCCTACAAGAAGCCCTCAATACTGTGTACAGGTGGTGCGAGAGGGAGCAGATGTCTGTGAACCCCCGGAAAACTGTAATTATCCCTTTTACCAAAAGGCAAAAGCTAGATAAGCTTCGTCAGCCTGTCCTATATGGAGAGAGCATTCCGTTTGCGACGGAGGTGAAATATCTAGGGGTCACCCTAGATAAAAGACTCACCTGGAACGCCCATATGGCAAAAACTATTAACAAAGCCAGATTTTCCCTCTGGAACCTCAGAAGGGTATGCGGCAAATCATGGGGAATGAACCCCAAACAGATTTACTGGATTTACCAAACAATGGTAAAACCAATGGTCACGTATGGCTCGGTAGTCTGGTGGACCAAAGGTCTGCAGGGAACAGCCAGGGCAAAGCTTGCTGGTCTCCAGCGGCTGGCGTGCCTGGCCATTACAGGGGCGATGTCCTCTACTCCAACGGCAGCGATGGAAAACCTCCTGAACCTCACTCCCCTCCACATTGTCTTGGAGAGGGAAGCCAGGATGGTTTCCTACAGATTCCTGTCATTGGAAAATCAAATCAGAGGGGGGCGACTGCTGGACCACTCCGGGATACTGTGTGAAACAAAAAATCACCAAACTCTAGGAATGGTTTCCGACATGTTGGCCACTCAGACACACGTGAAAAAGTCTTTCAAAGTCCTCTTCCCGAAGAGAGACGAATGGGCAAGCGGATCAGTCCGATTCCCAGAGACCGAACACGTAATGTACACAGATGGTTCGAAAACCCCTCGTGGAGTGGGAGCCGGTGTGTTCAGCAGAAAACCGAAGACGGAAATTTCCGTCAATCTCGGCAAATATGCTACAATCTTTCAGGCGGAGGTATTCGCAATTGAATTGTGTGCTAGAGAGTTGTCAAATAAACCTCTAGTAAACAAAAATATCAGTATTGTATCAGACAGTCAGGCTGCTCTTAAAGCACTGAGCTCCAGCAAGATAAATTCCAAGCTTGTATGGAGCTGCATTGAATCCCTAGAAAGCCTGGGTGCTAACAACAGAGTCACTTTGCTGTGGGTGCCTGGACACCAGGGGGTGGAGGGTAACGAGAAAGCCGACATCCTCGCCAAACAGGGAACCGAATCTGTGTTCATAGGACCAGAACCATATTTTGGGGTCACCGCAAGTGCGGCGAAAACAACTATCTCGGGCTGGGCGGAGGGAAAAACACTCACGTACTGGTCCGAATTACCAGGATTAACCCATTCGAAGGCGTTCCTGCCTAAACCATCGGAAAAAATAACCAGGCAGATCCTAGAATGGAGCAGGGGTAACCTGCGAATTCTGACTGGACTGCTTACGGGACACTGTCGTCTAAGATACCACCTGGGAAGGATGGGTCTGAACCAACAAACGGACTGTCGGTTCTGTTGTGTGGAAGACGAAACGGCTGAACACATATTATGCTCATGCTCTAGCTTAGAAAGACTAAGGTTCGACACATTTGGCTTTACCAACCTAGAACCTATCGATTTCAGACAAATCTCACCCAATGTGGATGATAACAAATTATTTTTAGATCGCTTAAAAAATCCCAAGAAATTATTGTTGCTGCAAGAAGCTAGCAATGGAAACCTTGGCGTATTTTTTATTCGATTTCTAAATCCGCTTCGGATTTGCCGCCTAGTGCGCCTTCAGCCTCTCCTGATTCAGAAGATACATGACAGACTCATTACGTACAACGGACTCCTTTTTTCCATCAATGTGTTGTTCGACCTATTAGCTACCAGCTGCTTCGCTCGTGCAGCTAATATCCGCGGGCTGCTAATGATCATTTTATTTCTTGTGACACAATATACAATTGTGATTTGAAAATGTATACCTACCTTATATGGTACCGAATAAAATTCTATGGGAAAAATTATATTCATCTTGTTTTTTCTGTTTTTTTTTTCATTCTGAATAAATGAAGTTTTCCATGACTTTTTTATCTGATTTTATAAACTAACTGAAAATGAGGAGATGTGATATTAAATGACACTAAGTAACGAAAAAAAAGCGCTGCATTTACAGAAATTTTGCCTGCGACAAGCTTCTGCTCGCTTCGCGCGCACGAATACATTTTGCCCATAAATGGAATTCGCTATAAAATTTTGAATGAAGTAGACAAAACTAAAGTCTCTAAATCATTAAAAAAGAATGCAGCTATGATCTGTCCGTACCCTGTCAAGATGACTTTAACGTCAATTTACATCAAGGGACCCTTATCGGTCCCAATATCGCCTGCGCTTCGCGCGCTATAGCGACTTCTAGTGGTTTTTTTCATAACTTTTTGCTGCATTTCATGTTCAGCAGATGGCTTCAGTGGCAACACTGTCTATAAATGTCATCATTGTCATTTGTCATCGGTCTATCATCATTTTTAGGTTAAAATTTCAGTTTTCAGCAGTTTCCACTATTTTTCCAAATTTTTCAGTTTATTCTGAAATTGACAGAAAAAAAAAACATTTCCCAATTGATTTTTAACAACTAGAACACAATTAAATACAACGAAGTGGATCAACATGTCTGAGGCTTCCATGAATAATGAAGAAATCGGGGATTACTTGAATACAAATGAGAAAAATATGAGGAAAAATATAGAAAACATTCCAAATGGCAGATCAAAAAACTCATCAGTACTCACAGATAGCGAAGCAGAAGAATATGAAAATAACAAGGAATCTACAGAATCCTCAGAAACACCTAGTGAATTAGAAAAACAAGAAGAGTGGGTGGACCTTCTGGGTAGTGGAGCATTGATGAAGAAAATAATTATAGAAGGGCTGCCTGATAGTAGGCCCCAAAGAAATGAAACTTGCAGAATCAATTATACATGCTACCTAGAAGATGAAACAGTGGTTGATGGTGCTAATAATTTTGAACTAAATCTGGGAGATTCTGATGTAAGCTTAATTTGTACTATTAACTGCCATAACTTCAGTTTTTTGTGGAGGAATTGGTTGATGCATAATGGTTATTTAGGTTATACAAGGATTGGATGTTGCCTTAGGATTGATGAATTTGAATGAAAAATGCAGACTCAAAATTGAACCTAGATTTGCTTTTGGCAAAAAAGGCTTGCCACCAAAAATTCCTGGTGACTGTACTGTTATATATGATGTTGAGTTATTATATGTTGGGCCTGAGGATACCATTGAAGAGCTCACTATTCAGCAAAGGAAAATAAAAGGGTAAGCAATTCACAACAAAAACACTGATAAAGGTAGTCCAGGAAAAATGTATGAATTTATTCATCTTTAGGAATATACTCTGGAATTTATGTATTTCTTGATTCTCAGTTTCTCTATTTAAATGTAGAGAAAATATAATTCAAATTAATTTCTACTCATCATATTTGAGAACAAATATAATGCTCAATAAACCCATCTACATGAAAGGACAATTGCCTCAAAGTTCAACTGCTCCATTTGAAAATGAATGTGAATCAGACCACATGATGTGACACTTGAGGTGAAAATTGAAATTATTGTGGCTTATTCATCTGTCATGTGATATGTATTGGGATATGAACTTTTTCTCTATGTTTTTTTCAATAGCTATTCCTAAACATTATCACTGATACACATTCAGCATGAAAACACAAAATGAACAGACTTGCATAATATGGCTTTGAAGTGAGTTTACTGCTCTGAGAAAACTTTGTTAAAGGAAAAATGAAAACAGGAGAATAAAGAACACTGAATAAAGTCACAAAAAAACTCAGGCTAATTTGATGGTACATTAATTCCTTACACTGTGACATTAATCAGTAACTTCAAATTTTCAAAATTCAATAAATCAGAAATAGTTCTGAATATCCCAGGGAATATCCATAGGGATTCACATACATAGAACATTCCCATCCAGATCCATAATCTAGATTGTAAAAAAATGAATGGGTTGTTCCATTAGGTGCCATTTGAATAATAAGTGCCCATACATATTTTAACATATGGCAACTATGCTATGGTCTGCCCCTACCTAATCATGATGTCAGTTTTTATTTGCTTCCTTTGAAAATTACCATGACAATATTGATGACTTTAGCACTTTGAAATCAACTGAAAAAATCTAAAATAATATGGAATCAAAATGTAATTAAGTGATGATTCTATTTGAAAAAATAAAGAAAGTCCACTAGCCCAAACATGATGACAGTAATAGAATAAATAGTTATCATGCCACCTGTTGATTTTACCCAATATTCACCCCAAAAAATCGAAAATCTGTTATTTATATTGGAAAAAATATATCTTGCTATGGATTTTTTTTCAAAAAATACATAAGGCATGACATAGATTGAAGTCATGCTCTCTCTTGATTTTGTTTTTTTATTTTAATCTGAAACATTGGAGAAAAATCAGAAATCAGTCATTTTTATTGGAAAAAAATATCTTGCTATGGATTTTTTCCTCAAAGAATACATAAGGCATATCCTAGATTGAAATCATGGTGTTCCCCGATTTTGTCACATCAATATTTTCAACCCAAAAATCGAAAAATTACCGAAAATTCGTCATTGTCATTGGAAAAAATATCTTGTTATGGATTTTTCTTGTCAAATAATACATAAGGCATATCATAGATTGGAATCATGCTGTCCCCTGATTTTGTAGCATAAATTTTACCTCATTTTCACCCCAAAAATAAAAAAAAATCGAAAATCTATCAATTTTGTCTTGCTATGGATTTTTTTGTCAAAAAATGTGTAAGGCATATTATAGATTGAAATCATCTGATCTTGTTGCATCAATTTTACCCCATTTTCACCCGAAAAATCGAAAAAATCGGAAATATGTGATTTTCATTGGGAAGAAATAATAAACTGTCAAATACATACAGGGACTCTAGAAATATCTTGTCAAGTATCTTGTCATAGTTTTTTTTTGGCAAAAGATACACATCCATTGAGTTCATGCTGGCCCTTGATTTTGTCGGTTCCTTTTCACCCCATTTTCAACCCAAAAATCGGAAATCTGTTATTTTCATTGGGAAATATATTTACTATGGTTTTTTTCATCATCAATACATGAAGCATATCATCTATTGAATTCATTCTGTCCCCTAAAAAACTCCATAAGAAGATATTTTTCAATGAAAATTACAGATTCTCGATTTATTTTAGAATTGTGGTGAAAATTGGGAAAAATGAACAGGTGACATAACTTTATTTATTCTACTATACTACCAAACGTCCTTTTGAAAACATCTGTAGCCAGATACTTTATTGTAAATATGCAAATTACGGCAATTTATTGTTCTCTCCATAGCCATTGCAATTTCTGTTGTCCTATATCCCTCAGAAATTTCAGGATATGAGGTGGTTCCTAGAGTCACTGGATGGTATTAGTAGATAAGAGTTCAGACACAGCTAAACCACTGTCCTTTTCTATTTTCTAAATTACAATGCTTGAGTGAATAAGAGATTAAGACATACCGGGTGGCTATGGAAGTATTGCCTACGGAATATCTCAGTTATTGTATGAAGTAGGTTTGTGAAATTTAGAGCGTCGATATAATGACATAAGAGCTAGAATTTGAGCATATTGACATGTCAAAGTTAACTTCCGGTCTTACCGGAAGTAACATCAACTTTCTTGTTTTAAATGGAAACCTTTTTTTTTTTTCTTTTTGCTTTATTCAGCATTCAATTCCCTTTCTAATGACATATCACAAGTTGGTATCCAACCAGAAACTATTTATTATTTTTAATTTTATTTTTGCATATGGCGATAATCTGTTTTGTTATTTGAAGAATAATAATTCGATTTTTTTGGTATTTCATTTCAAAAAATGACTTTCTATTATATCATTAGAAAGGAATGGTTATGCTGAATAGTACAGGCAAGAAAAAGTTGTATGTTCCTATTTAAGTTATGAACCTACAGAGTATTGTTTTTTTCCAATTTTTTCCAATATTTTTTTTGGTGGCTTTTTATAACGCCGACGAATGAAAATGAAATATCACAGCAGTAGCAACTGTTATCCAGTGACGTATGGTTTGCATAGCCAACTTTTCAATTTTTGGCTTTCATTTTGCTTCCACGGCCTACTCGGTGAATTTCAATAATAATTTTTTTCTGATCTAGTTTCTGGTTAGATACCAACTTGTGATATGTCATTAGAAAGAGAATTGAATGCTGAATAAAGCAAAAAGAAAAAAAATAGGGTTTCCATTTAAAATAAGAAAGTTGATGTTACTTCCGGTCAGACCGGAAGTTTACTTCGACATGTCAATATGCTCAAATTCTAGCTCTTATGTCATTATATCGACGCTCCAAATTTCACAAACCTACTTCATACAATAACTGAGATATTCCGTAGGCAATACTTCCGTAGCCACCTGGTATATTCTGTTCTTTGTCTTTTCAATTTCCCTAATAGCGCCTGATTGTCAGATACGATTTTAGAGGTTACATTTTCTGTCAAATCAATCATAGCCTTAGATGGAAAATAGAAATATGGTATTAACACCCATTTCAATTCATAAGGATGTGGCACTTTTCACAGAACAACAGTTATAAAAATGAGAATTTGATAGTTGATGATGGTTTCTCCGAAACAAAACGTCGCACGGAAAATGTCTCAACGCGATTTTGTAGAGCTTCAAAAATGGGAATGAGAAAGTGTCTTCTATTTTCCTATGTCTCTTTAATTAACGTCAGAAAAAAATTGAAACGATTTCCATGATAGACATCCTTTTCTTGGACACAGTGTATATCAGGGTGCAATTTACTCACTCATTTTTTCGTTCTCAAATTCTCAATTTTATTACGTAGTTTTGCAATCCTCTTTCGCCATGATAATTTTGTTTTGCATTACGTGTGATGATAATAATGGATTTTTATAAAAATAGTCTGTTTTTTAAATGGATGGAACAGCAGATTCTCTCTAATAAATCTTGAAATCTTCCGCTCAAAAATGGGCCTAAAATATAGTTTCATTCTAATCTGCTGTTATAAGAAGTGAATTTTAATGTATGCATCCCACAAATTCTGCTTGTCTTCAAATTAATTTTCCATCCAGGCCGTTTCATACATTCCTTCCAAATGAGAATGGTTGATATTTCCTTTGGAAAATCAAATAAATGAACTTCATTACCTTCAGAATTCTCACAGGTCATTGGACAGCAGGACATTTTCATTAGCTCTTTCTTTTCATTTTCAATAGTTTATAAAACTATATTTCAATTTTGACGATCATGAAACGTATTGTAAAATTCAGACAATTTTGAATGAAAAAGCGCGGGACGACTATGCTGCTCTCGTCACAATGCAAGGTGTGTAACTTAATAAATCTAAACATTCATATTGTGTGACGATGGAAGCGAGGTCGAGGAACGAGCACGTAGAATATTTTTTTAATTTTGATCGAAATGTTCGCACAGATTATAATGACCATCAGCTCTACATGAGTTCTACCAATTATGTACAAAACCCAAGGTCATCTCAACAACTTTCATCAAGAGTGATCAAAGATCACTCAATGGTACATGTTTCGGGTTTATATAAGCCCATCATCAGTCGAATAGAAGTATATAGTTATAGAAATGTAAAAAGTTGAAATTCAAATGATGAAGACTATAACAGAGCAAACCACGTAAAAGAAGTGTATTTTATATAAAATATATTGAAAATTCATTTAGGGCAAATTCTGATACATTATCAAACCTCAATGTTTGATATTTTAAGTCAAGGTGGCCCTTTGAAAACGAAGCAAAGGCTCTGTAGGTCGCCAAAACCGGATTATGAAAAAAATCTGAAACACGTCAACTACACTTTCGAGGGGGACATCGTTCTAAATCATTTTCAGCTCTGCGGCGTTGCCGCTTCTAACGAAAAGTAGCAACGACTTTGTAATTTCGACATAGTTTTGACACAAAAAATCCTAAAGTTGAAAATTCTCTAATTTGAACACCTTATAGCTCTGTAATCATTGCCGCTAGATCTCAAGTCTGATGCATTGATGAAATCAGCTTTTTGGGGAGAATCTAAAAATGCAATGAAATACAGGGTGTTCCATTTGAAATAACAAAGTTGTTGCTACTTTTCGTTACAAGCGGCAGCGCCGCAGAGCTGAAATAAATTTATAACGATGTCCCCCTCGAAAATGTAGTTGTCATGTTTCAGATTTTTTTCATAATCCGGTTTTGGAGACCTACAGAGCCTCTGTTTCGTTTTCAAAGGGCCACCCTGTATATATTTGGGAGAAATATATTCTGTTGATCGTTTTAGTGTTGACTAATGCTATGAATTACTAGAATTCAAAATTTGTCGAAACCATGAGAGTAATCGAATATTATCAAGAGTACCTTTTTTGTAGTGAACAAGTTATACAATCCAAATTTCATATTCAAACCCCTTTCATTCAATACTGTCTGTAATGAAATAATAATAATAAAATATCATTCCTTTGGCGTGGAAGCTTTAGATGTTTATTAACTGAAAAAACGAGTTCTACCAAAGTTATGCCCAACGTTCTACTAAAGTTATGCCAAACGTTCCAAATTTGAGTGAATCGCATGAGCCGTTTCAAAGTTATAAAGCAAAAACGATTTTATAATTGTTACTTCAGAGCCGTCTAGCGTCCAAACTGAGCAACTTTGTACTGAGGTAAGTTTGCTTGTATCGAATTGTTCTGGTCTGAGGAATATGTGGTAAGTTATTGTAAAGACCTTTCAGGGACACCCTGTATAATATGCGAAATTATTCCGAGAACATCTTTTTATATAAAACAATTCTGATAGATTTTTCATCAGTTGTACGAGGATGTTCATCAAACAGGTTGTGAAAACATTCTGAATTAGGAAAACCCAATCACGAGTCTGTGATTAGAGATGTCTGTGAAAATAAAATTTCCATCGTTCAAGTTGGAATCCCTTGACTGGGTATGAAAGTTTAGAAAAGGACAATTTTCAGATACATTATGAACATGAAAAAAAAATGGAAACAAAGAAATTAATTGAGAATTCGCATTCTTCATCTGATGAAAATATGAATTCTTCTTCACGTATTCTCGATGTATTTCATTATGTAACAGCCTGTAGTTTTTTTAATTGAAGAGATAAAAATGTGAAATTTACAAGGGTTATATAATCGATGATGGCGCTTTGTTTGAACTCAATGACAATTTTCTTCAACCACCTGTTTGATCGGAAGTAGACCCAACTTTATTTTTCCAAATGGCACTGTATATTTATGTAGCCTATCTTATTTGCCTTAAAATTCTCTATTCAATTATGTATCACAATTTGATATTCGTTTATCAATTGGCTGTCAAATTGCATTTTATTGAAATATATGAAGTTGGCTGTGGCCCGAATACACTGACATTTCGATGCTTGATAGGCTTAGAGATCCAAAGATCATTACTCAGACGATATTATCAGAATATTTTCCATAGCCTAATCGGTCCCAGAAGATTGCCAATAATTCCATTGAGTTTGAAAAAATCATCCAAAAATAACTCAAGATATTGAGAAAACTAAGATAGAAACTCAGTTTTTTTCATTTGGTGACTTGTGAAGAAACTATTTGTCTTTCATTCTCGCCATGTTGCGGTTTACATAAAAGTCTAGTTTGACAGTTATTCATTCTCGCCTACTAAGCGAAATGATACTGAAAATACACTAATGTAGATTTATGAACAGTTGCATTAGAACGATACATCAATTATTACAACAATTTCAGTTTCATGTATCCAAATGAATATATTATGGCTACATGGCAAGAATGAAAGAAATAGTTTCTTCACAAGTAACCAAATTAGTTTCTATCTTAGTTTTCTCAATATCGTGAGTTATTTTCGGATGATTTTTTTAACTCAATGAAATTATTGACAATCTTCTATGACCAATTAGGGGATTGGAAATATTCTGATAATATCGTCTAAGCAATGATCTTTGGATTTCTAAGCCTATCAACCATCGAAATGTCATTATATTCGGGCCACAGCCAACTTCATGTTTTTCAATAAAATGCAATTTGACAGCTAATTGATGAACGAATATCAAATTGTGATACATAATTGAATAGAGAATATTAAGGTAAATAAGATAGGCTACATAAATATACAGGGTGCCATTTGAAAAAAAAAGTTGGGTCTACTTCCGATCAAACAGGTGGTTGAAGAAAATTGTCATTGGGTTCAAGGGAAGCGCCATCATTGATTATATAACCCTTGGGAATTTCCAATTTCTATTTCTTCAAATAAAAAAACTACATGTCTCCTGCGTCACCCGGTATATACAGGGTGTTTCAGTTTTTTGTAGCAGGACTTCAACAGCTTGAAGAAGACATTCTTTTAAGATGAAAATCTCATACGAACATATATGCGTGGAAGCTTCGTTTCCGATTTACAGGGTGTCAAAGTTTCAGATTTTTTTTATGTTTTTTGAATTTTCTCCTACAATTTTCGGAATAATTGATTTAAATTTTGTACACATAATTCACTTCAAAAACTCAATATTTGAGGCTATTTATCGTTTTTGAATACCTACAGGGTGATACGACTTTCAGGGGTCGTACCCAATTTCACCCTGTAGAACTTTTTTGCGTACCGTCCCTGCTTTCAATGGGGGCAAAAAGTTTCCAAATTGAAAGGACAATCTGAATCTATGCCCCATTGAAATTTTTAATAAAAATTTTAATAAAATAATTTTTCGAAAACTGTATGGATCTCCAGATAAACGTCAAAAATAAATTACTTGTAATAAAACCGTTATTTCTCAAACACACTTATTTGACATTTCTCAAACATTTTATTGGAAAATAGAATGACCGAAAGCTTCCATACCAAATGAAATTCAGTTGCAAAATTGGGTTGAATTTTTTGAACACCATTATAATTAAAAATAGGACAAACAAAGAAAAAATGTTTTTATTTCAAAAAAACTTCTCTAACTGGATTGCACAGTCTGAAATTGTATTGTAGAAAATTATAGGACACCCTGTATGACTGAAACTGTTTAAACTTTCGATATCAGGGACTGTATGACACACGGTCTAGACCAGGCGCTATACATCGCTAGAAGTCCATCCTTATCGCTAGACTGTCGCTTCTGACAGTTGAGGTGTAATTTAATCTCGTGAACGGCAGTTCTAATTTCATCAGTACCCTCAGAAGTGGTTCTCATCTCGAAATCCATACAGTTTTCGAAAAACATACATGGGGGCAAAAAGTTTCCAAATTGCAGAGACAAACTGACTCTATGTCCCATTGAAAGCAGAGGCGGCACGCAAAAAAGTTCTACAGGGTTAAATTGGGTACGACCCCTGAAAGTCTATCACCCTGTAGGTATTCAAAAACGCTCGATAGCCTCAGATATTGAGTTTTTGAAGTGTATCAGGTGTACCAAATTTCAATCAGTTATTCCGAAAATTGTAGGAGAAAATTCAAAAAACATAAAAAAAATCTGAAACTCTGACACCCTGTAGATCGGAAACGAAGCTCCCACGCATATATGTTTGTTTGAATTTTTCATCTTGAAAAAATGTCTTCTTCAAGCTGTTAAAGTCCTGCTACAGAAAACTGAAACACCCTGTATATAATATATATTTAACCTAACATACCCTAATATACCTGAGAATATTACTTTTCAAAAAAGAATCAAGAATCAGGCCTCTGGTATGCACGATGTTCCTCAAACATAATAAGGATTCTCTTTCATGATACCCGAAAAATGAAAAAGATACAAGTTACTTTTACATATCTACGATTTAAATTCACACAAGATATTCAATGAAATTTAGTAACCTCAAGTCAATTTTTTTTAGGAATAAAAAACGTGAGAGAGGCAATTGGTGGTATACAAGGGGAGAAAATAACATTGCCATCCAGTGCTACAGAAGAGCCCTAGATTATTTAGATGAGGTGGAGGGTGGTATTACTGGGCCTTTGAGTGAAAATGAGGGTAAGAGTGAAGTTACTGACGCAGACTTGCAGAGCTTACTTGAAGATAGAGTAAGTGTCTGTAACAATATGGCTGCTGCCCAGATAAAAATGGAAATGTATGACGCTGCACTAAATTCCCTCCAAGTGGTCCTCAGATGTCAGCCCAACAATGTTAAAGCTCATTTTAGGAAGGCAAAAGTATGAATATCATATATGAAATAATGATTGATTGGTTGTTCTTTTATCCTAAACCTTTCTTTAAGAAATGTTTATTAGTCAGTATATAATTCAGATCATTTCTATAATAGCATGATATACTCAAGGGTTAGTCAGATATAATAAGTAGGTAAATACTATCATTGCAGAATATCACTGGAAGGAGAAAGCTAGAGATAAAGAAAATAAAACAAATGAATATTCACATAATAAACGAATATAGATTTCCATAATAGCATGTAAAATCAACAACTTCGTTGAGTAGCACTATTTTGATAGAATTAAGTAAGGTATTGAAAGTTTTTAGATGCACACTTTCAGATTAATTGATCGCTTACAGTTTTTCTTTCAACTAAATATGCAGACAGTAGACATTGAAGGTAACACAACCTGGAAATTATATTCATCTCATTTTTTCAAAGTTGAACTTCATCTAGCCTAGCATAGTTCATTAGCTCCTGATACTGTTCACAATTTGCGACTGCAGACATTGTCTTCTTCTTTAACCTTCCGGTAGTCGCGCCTTTTTCTTGATATTGCATATCGGATAGAGTAAAATAGAATAGACTAAATTGGCTATTTTACACAGTCGTTTACAGCACGTCACATCACATAACATCTTTCAACAGAGGCGTAACATTCTCGGAAAATTGTATGCACTGCCACTAAATTGAATCAGTTTGAAATACGCTAGATTTGAATATTCTCGAAGAGAACATGCCCTTTTCATTGCACTTTATTTCAACGTGACCGAATTATGTTCGGAATGACGGCAGCAAAAAATCGTGCTGAGGATTTGATTCAGGATAAGGGGTACCACAAGTAGAGTTTTTAAATCTATCATTCAATTGTATCAGATGGCATGATTCTTATCTAGTCATCAAATCGCGAAACTGCACAAGTTACCGCGCAGGAAGCGTTTTTTTTTAGTAATTTTGCACAGGATAGTGATTGCCACAGGTGTCGTTTGATAAAATTCAATTGTTTTTCTTGATGATGATCGAAATTTACAGCTAACGCTGCTACTTATTGACGAATACCAATTTTCTTATAGAGAGATGATATTTGTGTGACCTGTTTCAACGGAAATGATACACCAACTTACAATTTGCAAATAATTATATCCATTCCATATTAGACAGTATCATCGTGAATACAATTAATGAGATCAATATTGCCTATGATACTAATGTATAAGTTAAATTTTTTTTCATATCCATAAAAATTTGAGAAATTATCAGCCTTACAGAAAATTGTTTCTTCTGATGATTACTTTTGTGGCAATGTTCTCATGCCATGGTTTACAATTTTCTTTACTTTATCAGGTGTACATAGGCAAGAATGACTTGCCATTGGCAATGAAATTTCTGCAGAAAGCCAAAGAGTTGTCACCTAATGACATTGAGATACAAAAGGAGATAAACGGAATTTCCAAATTACTTGATAAACAGAAAGTTACTGAAAGAGAGCTCGCTAGAAGAATGTTCAATGGACCCAAGACGGCTGATAGGACAAGTGTATCAAAAAATAAAAACGGAAAGAGCAAGGTATTATATAGGTTTTAGTTATGGTCAGGAGTAATTAAGACAATTTTCTCTTTTATTTATATTTTCCTCAAATAAAATAACCAACAATGAATACCTACTATTATACACCTAGGGAGAGAAGTGAAGCAGTAAGCACTTTGAAGATTCCTCAGAGAAGCGTTTTCGGCAACATTAAATAGTATGTTATACACCTAGGGTGAGAAGTGCTTCTATAAGCACTTTGAAGATTTTTCAGGGCGTTATCGTCACAAACCAAGGTTATGAGTTTCGTTCATTACCTACCTAATTAATACCTATCCACTGTGCGATATTTCTTGAATTTACCATACAGATTTTGGGAGTTAAATATCATGTTCTATCTATATTAACTGAACAGGAAGCAAATATCTGTGCAATTATATTGTCTCCGTTCAGAATAATGCAAGCATAATCACTTTGAAGTCTTAGGGCATTTTCAGCAGCAAACAAAGGTCATGAGTTTCTTCTATACTTACCTAAATAATACCTATACACTATGCAATATTTCCATACACTCCCATTAGAATGGAAATATTGAAGTTTATTAGAATTCTACTGATGTTGATAACATAATATGTGGATAGAATTCTCAACATTGTTTTAGTCCTGGCTGATATATTTGTTTTGCATTGTAAAATGCATGTTTTGAAAATCTTGCTCCTACATAGTGAAATTCACAAATTTTATGGTATCAACAATAATTATTGAGTCACTGAATTTGGAAAATCTTCAACCCCGTGTTATATGAATAAGAAGTAACTGTCCTAAATACTCCTGACACCACCTCTCCTTGAAAAATATGTCTTGATATCATGTGATATTATGAAGGGTTTTGATTGATTCAATGATAGTTATTTGTTTTACTAGGCAGAAAAATAGTAGATCGACTGCCGCGGCTGATAGTTCAGCCAAGGCCCAGTCAATCTACATTTGCTGCCGCGTGAAACATAGAATTTTTTCTCCAAATGATATAAAACCAATTTTGTGTGATTTTTTTATTGAAAACTCCATCATTTTGTGTTCACTCAATGTCAGTGTCAATTTTGATTACTAATTTCATTAGACTTCCTTGGAACGTTGCATAGCAACAAACTTTTTCTGCCTAGGCAGTAAAAGTACACCTTTTCTGTCTCTTAAGCGGCAGTAAAAAGCCACTATCCCTGCCGCTTGGAGAAAAAACAAAGTGTGTGTGAGGTATCAACGAATTCCTTGTTTTATTTGAGAGGTCCAATGGGCCTGTTTCATTGAAAAATTGTATTTAATTATTTCAAAGTACTAACCCTAACTAGTTCACTGTCGCAAACCGTTTTTTCCTCTGTACATTTTTAAAATAATTATTGAAATTGACGATATTCCATAACATGAAAAGCGCGCGAAAACGCTCTACTCACGTATATATCCCTTCTCTATTCCTGTAGACAAGTGCAAGAATATTTATGCTTGTCATTTTTATCAAAATATGAAATGATTTTGTGGGCTGAATACTTACAGCAGATAACAGAGAACACAATACATAACGGAAGAATTAGACAATCTGAGGATTATCGTTGAATATTCGCAGTATTTATGATAATCTCGACTAGGTGAAATGATTTGGATATGAAGGTGACAGACGATATGCTTCTTCTTCTTCTCTTCTTGTATTTCTGTGAACTATAACCATTACGTTACGCTGTTGCCAGGGTCACAAAATAATTTGGGTTCAAATAAAATGTCGATAAATACCTATTAGGAATATCAGGATATTCTTAAGGGCACTGCAGCATCTTGCAAGATATATCAGTATTCAATAAGTGATTATTAGAGACCAGGGTAACCTTTCTGTGAATGTAAATACTGTTGGCATTGGTCATAGTGAATCCCATAAAGTAGTTTCTAGTTATGAATTTGGCAACGTCGATATGTGTGGTTATGCTCTGATTGGTTATTGAGGAATAAAGAGGAATATAACAATAAATATCACGTGAGAAGGTGTATGACGTAATCGAGAGCTGGCGTTTTTCGAAGATGCTGATTTCAATTATTGAAAAAAACTATTTGTGATAATTTCGAATAACGAATGATGGCATCAAATACTATTTATACTCGGAATGATCAATATAAAATAGGTATGTGGCGTAAATTCGACATACTATTTATACTTGGAATGATCAATGAATGATCATTTTCGATGATGCTAGCACAAGCATTATCAGCCTGAAGTCGGAGAGCGCTACTGATCGATCGATACTATCCAATTTTTATGGCTAAAACTGGAATGATGCATGTGCACGGTGTGGGGCAGTGTTGCCAACTCAGATTCTCAACAGTCGCAAAATAGCCGTCTGAAAAACACCAAACACCATGTGAATCTAGTAGTTTTCTGGTGGTTTCAACTTCAGTTTAGATCATTAGCTGGTCGACGGAACTTGATTGGCTTATCAACGATAGATAGATATTTAAAAAAATCGAGGTCAGGTGATAAAATTATTCTATTTTTCTAACAGGAAACACAACGAGCGGAATAAATTCTTCATTACATCAATGACTATATACAGGGTATGTCACGACGAGCTTACACTATCTTCATATCGAGAATTAGTCGGGAAAGATCCATGAAAATTTACATGGTCATATTTTAGAATTCACTTTCCTCATTTAAAATATTTTCGATAATGCAGTGTTGCCGCTTCTACTAGAAAGTAGTAGCAACATTGAGATTTCGAATGGAACAACCCTGTTTTCTATCGCATTTTTTTATTCTCCCTGAAGAGCTGATTTCATCGATATAGGATGTTCAAAATCGAGATTTTTCAACTTCAGGATTTTTTTGTGTCGAAACTATTCATTATCGGTCAAAACGGCTCACATGTCCCTATCTCAACTTTTGATTCACTATCTATAGATATTTAGTCGGAACAGATACAGGGTGGTTCAAGATACGGAATTCTGATGTATCTGTTTCGATTGAATATCAGTAAATAGTAAATCAAGAGTTGGGACAGGAACATTTGTGCCGATAATGAATAGTTTCCACACAAACAAATCCTAAAGTTGAAAAATCTCGATTTTGAACACCCTACATCTCTGTAATCATTTCCTATAGACCCCAAGTGTGATGTATCGATGCAATCAGCTCTCCAGGAAGAATCTAAAATTGCAATAGAATACAGATTCTATTTGAAATGACAAAGTTATTGCTACTTTTTGATAGAAGCGGCAACACTGCATTGCTGAAAATATTTTAAATGAGAGCGTATTCTGAAATACAGGCATGCATGTTTTCATGGATTTCTCCCGACCGATTCTCGATATAGAGATAGTGTGAGCTCGTCATGACATACCCTGTATACTTGAGTATATGTTACTCGGTTACATATGAAACAAGAAATAAAAAAAAAAACTGATATCGTACAAAAACAGCCCAAATGTGAGATTGATTCCAGTTAATATAATGATTTATCTATAACAACTTCTCAGTGTTACATTGTCAAAATGAGAATTTGTTATAAAACAGGTGGAATTTTGGATGCAGGTCCTCAACCATCAGATTCCACCATTTATTTGAAAAAAATCACCAAAGTAAACACCATCCACTAGATGCCATATTTCGTCACAAAACGATAACTCAAACCGCCAGTTCTAGTGTGAAATCTACTAAGTTGGCAACACTGGTGTGGGGTTCCAACAGAACATAGTCACGTGCTACACAGTTGATGCCACACTCTGTACGAGCGATTTTAGTTCACGGTTATCAGGCAGAGTTGACTTGAACTGACCATCGAGATCGTGCAATGTGACCCCGTTAGACGTTTCTTGAGAGGTTTCCTTGATTATGGGTGCCAATAGGCCGCAAACGACCGATGCCCTCAAAGTGAACATAACCTGTGCCATCGCTCAAATTCAACCTTATCTATGCGACGAAAATTGAACCTTTCAAATGAGTGCCATCAAGCCAAGCCAAAAAATTCGTTGATATCTCACACACAACTTGTTCTTCAATTTCAAAATTTACTCATCCTAGAGGAATAATACTTTTGGATACAGGGTTGGTTGAATTAGAAAGAAGTTTCTGTTTTTCATGCTAAATATCAATCTAAAGATATTTCAAAACCAATCTTCGTTTTCTAAATATGACGGAAAAAGTGTAACTGTTTTGTCTTAATTTTATTATAACTTCCCTCTCTAAAAAAATGGTAGTATTATTTTATTATACCTGTAGTTACAACAAATCAAAAGATTTACGAAAAATGTCACTGTGCTTGAAATTTCATTATCAGAAGCGTCAAAAAAAGAAAATGAAAAGATCAATCTCAAGTGGAAGAAAAATTACAAAAATCTATAGAAAATATTTCATCTCCTTGATTAACATAAAGACAGTGTAGGTACTTAGATAAGATGAATTAGTAATAGTACACACTCTGAATGACAATTCAATGTTTTCAATGCAGAAAGATGTCTGCATTTCAGAAAAATATTGTATTTTCAGAAACAAAAACTTATTGGAGGCCTTTTTTATTATTGATTTTAGAAAAAAAAAGAATTCTTTACAAAAAGTTCTGCAAGGTCATAAACTAAAGATGTAAATATCAGATATCGAACTATTTCAGTTGTATGTCAAACAATATAAATTTTGCTCAAGAGTAAAGTACCTTAATTTTCGACAATATCGAAGATTCTCATGAAGGATAGTTGACTAGAATTGAAAACTACGTTCAAATATTTAATGACATCTGTTTATGATGAAAATCATGGTTTATTATTTTTTACAATTTCTGATCGATTTATATGCAAAACTTTTTCAGTATTAATTTTACGGAAAAAAGTTTGAAACCGAAAATGCAAACACCAGTGACGGCTCGTCAGGGACGGCAGGGTCGGCCGGGCCGTACCAAATAATTTGGGGAAAATTACTGAACTATTTGATGAATAAAATTATTTTCCGAAACTGTTTTCATAATTCATCGCTCATTATCCTACTGTTATGCCACTATTATTTGAATTTCATTCATGGAACCTTTGAGTATGCCATCCGCATATACACCGAAAATCACGAACTAATTCAGGACCTACGACATCTGGTAATCCCATCGTCAAAACGCCGCTTTCAGTTGAAACGCTCGCGTAGCGTAGCTCATTACACTGATGCAGACGGCCGGCCGATCGGTGATTTCTTGTCTCGACGCATCGCCACAGGCATCGCCTACAGATTCCCCGCTTCAAGTTTAAATTTTCGCTTATACGCGTCATACCACCTTACGTCATACCTTGGGTGCGGCTAAGATGCCTAGTTATAAGCATTTCAGGTGCGGCCAAGCTCTGCTGGCCGTCCAACGTATCGATCGTATCAGTTGTTTGCACTGCGCTCGCTGTGCACCGTATCGAACCATTCCGACCTAATTTTTAATATACGGATTGGCATGATTGACATTCTATTTTCATTTTACATTGTAGGTATTTATAATTTTAATTCCTATACTTATTTGTAAGTTGATGTTGGAATTTGAAATGTACAAACCGAAAAGAAAAATAATTTCCATGTTTTTGTTTACGCTTGCAGTAGTTGCAGTAAAAATGACTGGTGATTTTTGAATTTGCAATTTTTCAGTAATTCATAATTCAACATATCCATCTAATATTGGTATCAGAATTTTCCTTCAGTGCTTCTGAGCGTCAATAAGTTATAATTCAATTTGAATATTGCTGTAATGTAACCTAACTGTGCCTCTGCCTATGTAGGTAATATGGCAAGAAAAATGTCAGCAGTCCAAGAGCTGAGTAGGTATTGAAACATCGTAAAAAAGCTCTGGTGACGAAAATGTAATAAATGTATAACTTCCAGAATATCATTTATTTTCAAAGACCCATGTAGCGGTTATAAACTACCTAAATAATATTTATGCATCCATCGCATCGCGGGAAACATTATACCTACGGCTGCGGCTGCACCCTGCACGCGGGCTCGGCCAGCCGACTACGAAGGAGTGGGGTCAGTGGGGTGGCTTGTTACAGGAACGGCGTAGACCGATTAGTCATTGTTGTGCTTCTCGTGTTAGGTGAGTGGTTGTCGGTTATGTTGATTTTTTTGAGTTTACATTACGTTTTCAACAGAATATAAATATTTTTTGTTCACGAGTTATTTTATTTTTATTTTCTTTCATTTTATTTTTTCGACTTTCTTGTTATTATTTTTCCATACCAACTAACCCTTATCCACCTCCTTTTTCTTTCCCCATTTCCCCTGGCGAGAATGCTCTAACCTCGTGGTTCTTGCTGGACAATTTAATTTTTTGGTTATGTGTACAGGGTGATTCACCATAAATGTCCCCCCTCTAGCTCAATTATTTTTAAACCGATTTCAAAATTTGAAATATCATCTTGAATGATTTTTGATTGAGTTTTTTTCCGCTACATCAGAAAATACAAGGTGCTCAGAACAAACGATCTACAGGGTACCATTTGATTTTTTTATATGGAACACCCTATTTTTCATTGTATTTTTAGATTCTCCCTGAAAAGCTGATTTGCTCAATACATCACACTTGGGGTCTATCGGGAATGATTACAGAGATATAGGGTGTTCAAAATCGAGATTTTTCAACTTTAGGATTTTTTTGAGACGAAACTATTCATCATCGGTCAAAACGGCTTTCATGTCCATATCTCAACTTTTGATTTACTATCTACTGACATTTAATAATTGGAACAGATACAGGGTGATCAGAATTCTGAATCTTGAACCACCCTGTAAATGTTCCAATCAAATCTCAATAGACAGTTAATCAAAAATTAAGATGGAAACATAGGAGCCGTTTCGACAAATAATGAATAGTTTCGAGACAAAAAAATCCTAAACTTGAAAAATCTCGATTTTGAACACCCTATATCTCTGTTATCATTCCCGCTAGACCCCAAGTGTGATGCATTGATGAAATCAGCTCTTCAGGAAGAATCTAAAAATACAATGAAATACAGGGTGTTCGATTTGGAAAAATCGAGTAGTACCCTGTAGATCATTTGTTCCGAGCACCCTGTATTTCCTGATGCAACGGGAAAAAAAATTCTGAGAAATCATTTTAGATCATCCTTCAAATTTTTAAATCGGGTCAAAAATAAGTGAGCTAGAGGGAAAAAGGACAATTATGGTGAATCACCCTGTACATGCTTATTTGCCATCGAACTTCACTCAAGCCGCTGACCCACTTACGTTCGCATTTTAGAGCAATATCTATACCCTGGCCGACCCAGGTTCTGAGGGCACGAGCCGTCACTGGCAAACACATATCAACTTGTTTCAGTCTTATGTCAAAAAATCTTCAAGAAATTCGAAAATATAATAAAAACTGAGTTTCATCTTAGACAAATGTAATCAGATATTTGAACGTACTTTTTAATTCTAGTAAACTTTTTTCAATAACAATTTTCAATATGGCTGAAAATGAAGCTGCTTTACTCTTGAGCAAAATTGACGTTTTTTGACTCTCGTATGCGACTGAGAATAATTGATATCAAATAATTGCATTTTCGGTTCAGGGCCTTGCAGAACTTTTTATGAAGGATTTCTTTACTAAATTCAATAATAAAGTTTTCCAGTTGTTGCTAACTTTCTCAGACGTACTGTTACCTATAGGATGTTCCATGTTTAGTTTGTTCCAGTTTCATAAAACACCTTTTGTAATCCCTGATAAAGATCATTTGAAAGGTGTCATGGTTCATGGTTTAATATTGTTTTCAGGTGGGGATTTGGGCAACTTTAGGGGCTGTAGTAGTAGTAGGGGTAGCTGGAATTGTGGCCTATCGATTCAAGGTTGTATAGAAATGTTTCATTTGGTGACCTGTTGCATTTACTACTGTTGTATTTTGTTTTAAAAACATCTTGTTTTATTAAAGTTTGAACATTGTCATACAAAAATATCACTGTTTTACAATAATTACACCTCTTTGTTACGTTTTGTTATTTTAATAAAATTTTTATTTAAAGTGTGAATGTGATTATATTCATTAAGATATAAGAACCATATTTGATATGAGTACCTTGAGGAACACTGTAATGAAAATCCAAAATGGCTCATACGACAAACTATCACTCAACAAAATTTATTATACTATTAATTTTTAGTCCACATATTATACAAAATATATAAAATGTAATAACATCATGAGAGCAGTGAATTCAACGAACGACAAGAAACGACATGCTTCAGAATACTCCTCAGATATGGATAGTTTGGTCAAAACTTGATTTATTCAGTACTACAGTACTTTAAGAAAGCATTGTATAATAGATTATATTATGTTAACGTGTACAGGGTATCCCAATTTGGGCACTTTTGCGGGGTATCTCCCTTATCAGTAAAGATAGAGCATTGCGGTTTTCGCGACAGTGTGCTACTTTTTTATGAAATTAATAATGGCGCAAGCAGAATTGTGATAGCTCTTCCGGTTGTCGAGATACAGGGTGGAATTGAAAAATATCACTTTTCAGGCACCCTCCGTGTCTCAGTTATCTTTGAACTTATCGAAGAAGTTAAAACTTGTTTTTATAGAGTTTTTCTCGTAGAATCCAGTGGCGTAGTTATTTTTTTGCTAGCACCTTTTGTTTTTTAGTTATGGAGCAAACATATGTTTTTTTAAATGGAACACCCTGTATATTATTTCATATATACATTGAGCATGAAGTGGGCTTTCCAAAAATATATAATTGTATACAATTATTTTCAAAAACAAGCTCAGAATTTCAGATTTTCAAAAAAAAATTTTTAGGTAGAAGGATATGGCTAAAATTTATTGAAAACAAAATTTATGTGAGTGATTATTATACTTCTTATACTTTCAAACTCAATTCAAATAATATTTTTTTATTTCTCATTCCTTAATTATTTATTACATCATTCAAACATAATTATTATGATGAATAACAACAAACACCAAAATTGAAAGATCCGGAGATCGAGGCGGCCATCTTACAGGTCCGTTGGTACCAATCCATCTTTGAGGAAAGTTAATTATAATAGGTAGGCTATGGCTAATTTGTTTGGAACAGAAAGCAAAATGTCATAAACTTCACGAGCTATTGTCAGTTTCTGATTATTAGTGAAATATTCCCAGACAGCACAGAATATTCTATGAATGTTCTCACAACGTTCACAACATACCTTCTTCAGAATATTCTGAAGAATATTCTTGGAATATGATGAGAATGTTCTGAATATTCATAGAATGTTCTGAAAGAATATCCATAGAATATTTTATCTAAATATTCTAGGAACATTTCAGAATCTTCTATTATATTCTATGAATGTTATTCAGAAATGTTCATAGAATGTATTGTTTGAATATTCTAGGTACATTTATAAGATATTCCATAATATACTATGAATGTACTCCAGGTATGTTCATAGAATATATTATTCAGATACTATGAGAAAGAGAAAATTGTTCAAAACTTTCAGGATCCTGGTACATTTCCATATAATCTTCACAATTTATATATTTGTAATGCTGTTCCTATTGTAAAGTACGTCAATTAATAATTTGAGAATTCATTTATTGAATTTTATTGTCTTTTAACTTCTGATTGCACCTGATATTATTCATAAAATATGAATTCAAATTTACCGCCCTCGAATTACTTTCTTTTTATCCGCTAGGGGCGCTATATTCTTTCGTTCTGAACTAACTGAGAAAATTCACAACAACTGAACAGAATCTGTCAATGTAATTATGTCGGTTCTCTGTCGTTTGCCCACCCAATGACCAAGGACTATAATAATCCTTGCCCAATGACAACCATAAGTCGGTACATCGCACTGGTACATCGCAAATCGCACTGATCTATATAATAGATCAGTGGTACATCGTGGTTCGGTCTATGCCCTATGGTGTTTGTGTTGTGAGTTGTGTCTTGCGTCAAATGTCAAGTGTCAAGGGTTCGGTCTGTGGTCTGTTCTCTTGTTCCCTGTTCGTCTGTTATGGTGTGCTTGTGCTGTCTTGTGTGGTTTCAGAAATTTCGTAACGTTCTCCAGCAAAAATGTGAGTAATTTTTTATTTCGTTATACTTATTTACATACTACATACTACAACATACAATAAATTTCTTAACTTCAGACTCAAGTCTAACTATGCCTAAGAAGTTTTCAACTACATATTATAGAAAGCTCAAAACTCATAAGGAAATGAGTAGGGTGGTATTTTCTGTTGACTCTGATACCAATAATACCACTAGTGCGACTACACCACCCCATTCATCCCATTTCATCACTACCAGTGATCATGTGATCATGATTCGAATACTGAACATATGGAAATTGAGATGGAATCTGTAACTAGCTCAAATGCTGAAATGCATGTTGATACAGGGGAATCACATAACCATGTGACTGTGTAATAGATACTGTAGGTAGCCTCTAGCAAGGAGCTATTGGGGAAAAATCATTTAAGAATCGAGTTCATGAGAACGTGTATTTTTATGACATCCCTCATAATTCTAATGACAACTGTCTGTTCAACCAAATATCTACAGGGTCATGCACAATAATATAACATGCCCCCTCAAAGGAAAATAACAATAATAAACAAATTTTTGAACTGGTCAATCTAATTGGAAATCTGCGAACCTGGCGGGCATCTTTCTATTTCTCATGACATTAGATCTATTGGATGGACCAGGATCAGATGGACCAGGATCAGGATCAGATTGACCAGGATCATCTTCACTATTCATGTTTGATGTATGTGGAAATCTTCGAACATGAACCAAGTTCCTCCGAAGTAGGTTTCCATCATTAGTTTTGATTTCAAAGGATCTAGGAGTTGTTATATTTTCTATGCACCCTCTCTTCCATATTTTATCCTCTTTATTTTTCTTGAACATTACCTCTTCATTAATCAATGGGCTTTCAAGATTTCTCGATCTTTTATCATAATAATATTTTGATTCGTTCTTCCGATTATCAATCGATGCATCAACATTTCTTATAACTTTGGGTTTCAACTTCGTGTCCTTGATAGGAATAGAACATCTCAAATTTCTTGAAAATAATCTTTGTGCTGGACTACTTCCTATTTTATTCGGTGTATTCCTTTCGAGCAGAAGCATTTCGTATAAATCATTCTTGCTCTCGATACTTTTTTCTATTAGCTGCTTTGCTGTTTTCACGGCTGCTTCTGCTTTTCCGTTTCCTTGGGAATGATATGGGCTAGAGGTATAGTGTTCAAAATTCCAGTCATCCTGAAATTTACTGAATTCCTGGTTAACGAAATTTGTCCCATTGTCACTTATGACTTTTCTTGGTATACCATGTCTACTAAATATTTTTTTACACATCTGAATTGTTGTTTTCGCTGACATATCTTTGAGTTCTTCAATTTCAAAGAAATCAGAATAGTGATCCACGATTATCAAGATTCTTTTTTTTATATTGTTAATGGTTATTTCAAACACATCCATACTAACTATCTCAAATGGTAGTTCTGGGATTTCAGATGATAACATTGGTGGATTTTGTTGGCTTCTCGAAAACTTCATGCAAATTTCGCAACTTTGAACTTTATCTTTTATCTGTGCCGTCATCATTGGCCAAAATATCCTCTCCCTAGCTAAATTTGTTGTATATTCTATACCTAGATGGCTGCAATGTAATTTATCCAACATTACTTTCCGCATATTCGGTGGTATAAGGATTCGATCACATTTGAAAATGAGTCCATGTTGTGTATGAAGGTCTTGTCTGAATTGCCAATAAGGGCGTAAATATGTAGGCACACTTTTATTTGATTGTGGCCAGCCATTTTGAATAATCACATACAGTTCCTTCATTACTTCGTCCTTCATGGTTTCTTCTTTTATGTCTCTGAATGTCTTATCTGATATAGCGATATTTTCCAAGGCATTCACACTCTCGATTTCCTGCATTAAATCCCGAATTTCATATATATCATAATAATCATCGATAGTTTTCTCGTTACCGTCTGGAAGTCTTGATAACAAATCTGCAATATACATCTCTGAACCTTTTACGTACTTCACCTTCAAATTATATCGGTGCAATTGTAAAATCATACTTTGAAGACGTTTTGGAGCTTCTATCAATGGCTTCTTCAGAATACTTATGATCGGTAAATGGTCTGTCTGAATCGTTACGTCATTTTTTCCACATATGTACTGATCAAATTTTCTACATGCGTATACTATAGCGAGCATTTCTTTTTCTAACTGACAGTATTTTGTTTGTGAAGGAGTTAGCATTCTTGATGAAAATGCAACTGGTTTATCATCTTGCAGCAGTGAGCACCCAATTGCAAATGATGAACTATCAGTCTGTAAAGTGACCTCTTTTTTGGTATCAAAGTATTTCAAAATTGTCTCCTTCTGAATAATGTTTTTGATCTCTTTAAAAGCATTCTGATGTTTATCTTGCCATATGAATTCTTCTTTCAAGTGTGTCAAATTTCTCAAAGGTTCTGCCACATAAGCCAGTTTGGGTATATATTTGCCAAGATAATTCACCATACCTAAGAATTTCATCACTTCAGTCTTTGTTTTCGGAGCCGCCATATTCTTTATCGCCTCGACTTTTTCTTCATCAGGTTTGACACCATCGCTAGTTAGTATGTGACCAAAAAATTTTACCTCATGCTGGCATAATTTAATTTTGTCCTTATTTAATTTGACGTTCCTCTGTTTCAGCCTTTCTAGAAGACCTCTCAATTTCCTGTTATGATCCGCTAATGCTTCATCATCCGTTTCTCCACAACCGAATACAAGTAGATCGTCTGCAATGCATATTACACCTTCAATACCCTGTATCACCTCATGTAGTTTCAGCTGGAAAATCTCCATGGAAGGGCTCAAACCGAATGGTAACCGCAACCATCTGTATTTTCCAAATGGAGTCCAAAATGATGTTAATTTACTACTTGCTTTGTCTAGTTCAATATGCCAAAAACCATTTTTCACATCTAAGGTAGTGAAGATTCTTGCATTTG